CATAAAGTTCAATAATAAATAACTTTTAAATTATGCTGTATCAAAGATGCTCTGTGAGCACAAGTTTCATATTTTTGATAAATTAATACACTTGCAGAAAATAGCTGAAAAAGTATCCATCATTGATGCTTATAACATCTTTTGTTCATATTATAAGCTTCATTATATGTATAAGAACTAACTCATTTCACCAGAATTTAACTTTCTGTATAATTAGTGTAGAATCCTTTTAAATACATTTTTCAGTTTTATAAACTGCGCCAATTACGTTCAAAAAGTAGAAGAAATATGTCAGTTTTTACAAATTATATCATGCAAGTTGTGTTTTTCGTAATACGATACAATTTGTTATATAAACTTTTCCTTTTATTTTGTATTATTTGTTATATTTTTCTGAATTATGTTTACAAGTATAATTTCACCATTTTTCCTTCAAATTAAATTTACATAGATACAGATACGTTATAGATAATTTTCTTATAGAAACGTTCACAATGCTTTCGCTGTAGATGTATAATGTATGCATTTCTCTTTTTCTGTCATGTCATCAATTACATTAATCAAAACGGGTGTATTTCGTCTCACAATATCGTGCAACACAACACACTTTCGATGATATTATGCCTTTGGAAATAGCAATTTCTAATCGACAGACATCTACTCGCCACGTGCAATCAGCTATAATCACTTGTACACGGCGCCAACTTCCTGTACAAGCGACCGCAAAAATTTTCGTCTACTATGACGTATTGAAAGCATAGCTCTTTGCAGTTTTCTTCCATTTCGATAATGGCTTCTTTGCAATCAGTCACCGTCGGCTTTTTGTATTCATCTCGCTCGCGTAACGGGCCAACTTTCGCGGACTGAAGAGCGAGGATACAGTTTTCTTTTTGTAGAGCGAGATACTAAAAGAATGCAAGTGCATTCAACGCGCGGAGAGATATCCTGCGAGGCACATAATGCGCTTTATTGTCTGCGATGCTACTGCTATGTATGTGATTCTTTTCCTCCTCCTCTTCCTGCGTAAAAATAATCGTGGAATAAAAGCGCATAATGACCCGTCGCTACTAACGCTGTCGTCACCAAAACCAGGGAGAAAACGAAAGAAAGGCAGAGAATTTCGTTAAAGCATTCTATCATGTTGGCGAATCGAAAAAAATTCGTTATTGTACTTCATCGTTAAATTAAGGAAATTAGCCACTCGTTCAGGTACTCTTTATACGAATCGTTTCAAACACGTTTGTCTCTTCCAAAATCGATAGCACATCATAATTCTGCCTCGTAAGAACGATTCTTTGATTAAATGCGACGCTGAATTGATCACGCGTAACGACGCGAGAGCTTTCGCGTCGTGACTGACTTTGATGAGACAATTTGAATAATAGCGATGGCTCTTGACTTGGGAAAAAGTGTCAACTTCCAATCTCGTCGCATCGAGAATCCTCTCGACTGGTTTCTCGAGATTGAACTGTCGTCAGGAAAACGAGGGCCTACTACGGGGTTATCCTAGCTCGTATTCACTCATTTCGGTAAATTGCCATTGCGAGAATAACAAGAACAAGAAATCGTCGACGCCGACCGCACAATTAGCGTTAATCCGCATCCCTTCAAT